TGCCCGGGGACACGCGGGCCGAGCTCCAGCCCGCAGCCCAGACCCCACGCGCTCCCAGGCTCCCGCCCTAGCCCCGGGGGCTCGGCTTCAGCCGAATAACGTATTCACTCTGCAGCCTTCTGAGATGCCTTCTCTCTCTCTCTTTTTTTTTAAATTGGGTTTACTTCTGTTGTTGTTGTAGTATGTGCGTGTGATTAAAAACAAAAAAAAAATCTGTGCCTTTTCCACCCTTTGCAGAAAGACTTTCTTCTCCTTTGCCACAGCAAACGGAGATGAGAAACAGATGTCTTTGCAGGACCAAGCAGTTATTCTCCCCTCGCCGCCCGCCCCCGCCCGTTCCCCTCCGGAGCTGTATTCGTATAAAAAAGCAACCTTGGTCCGACTGCAACTTGAATTGGCAACTCTTTCTGGGTGGGGAGCCTCCAGGGAAAACCTCCAGGAAATAAAAAAGTAATAAAGGAGGCTGTCCTTGGTCAAGAGAATGTAATTTAAGCCCCGGAATCACATTATTTTGCAAATAGTAATTTTCCTCTATATTGGGCTCAAGTGGAGTTTGTTTTTTGAAACATTAATTCATAACTTCTGTCTAGGGACCCCCTCCATAGTCGAGATGGGTCATTTCAGGTGTAATGAACGCAGAGGCTTGGAAGGCATAGACCTAATAAAATGGGGGGAAGGCACCTGCACATAAGTGTTACAAAGACTATAATGTTTGTTTACTGCTACTATGCCAGATGTGCTAAATATAACACTTCTTTAAAACAGTGATCCTCCGACTGTGAAAAACCAAACCTCTGGCTGCCTGGCTCCCTAGGAATCAAGAAGAGGCACAGACTGAAAATCAAGGAGGGAAGGAACAAGATCAAGGATGAGGATTAGCATCTGCAAATTGAACCCTATCTAATTTGCATGTTAATTTCTTAGAATTGTAATTAAATTTGTGTAATAAATGTTTTCCATTTCATTGGTACGTTTAGAATTTGGGTGACTGACGTGCAGTTAAGTGTATTTCTTTTTTTTTTTAAGCAAATGCAGTTTATTCACTAAAGCAGCAAACAAATATTAAACATAATTAGAACTAATCTGCTTTGAAGGTATTTTTGTTGAACTTTGTACATTAAAGACTCTCAGAGGTTTTAAGGGTATTAGGAAGCTGAGAGGAGGCAATTATGCTGAAAACAGACTAACTCAACAGACTTCCAGGAGCACTATTTCATTTTTTCCAAAAGACATTTCAGGGTTGCATGCCTAAAACTGGGAATTGGGCATCCATCTTGGCTTTCTTTGGAACCAGATTAAATTGCATTGGCTCATGCATGATACAGGCCATTATGATGATAATTTAAGAATTGTAAAGATGCCATTTCGTGCAATCAGTGGGGGCTGCATGGCCAGGTTATGGGTAGAATACAGTTTTTATTTGGGTAGGGGCCAAGGGTAAGGAAAGGCACAAGGGCATTTAAAAGCAGTGCAAGTACTTGAAAATCTAAATCAGTGTCTAAAACTGGTTAGTGTCTAACTCACATAAAGAGCTAAATGTGAGGGCTTGGAGGCATGGCTTATTATTGTTTTTATCTCCCTATATTAAAGTTTTATAGCATTTAAAGGACTATGGGGAAATCCCCATATACCCTTGGCTGTGTCAAAATACATAAAGCCAAAAGGAGCAAATTAAGCATAAAATTGAGAAATAACATGAGACTAAGTATCAGCATGGGTTGCATTGGCATCTTTGGAGCCTTGGTGCTGAGAAATGAGCCTTCTGGGAAACTGGCATTGCCCTTGGGTGGGGAGGACTCTTGGCTTTAGTGCTACAACAAAATGACATCATAACCCAAGTATGAAATCATTCTACTTCACAGCACCCTTGTGGTTCTGAGTATGAACTTGACCCTATCCTGTTCAGCTATGTTAGGTTAGCAAGTTTTACCAAAAGCCTTCCCTGCCCTCCTTTTAATCTCGAGTTTAACGTTTGCTGAGATTCAGTGCCTAACTCTTGACAACATGAACTAATGCCTACAAGTAGAGAAGGCAGTCAAATGTCCGTGGAATGAGAAACATCATTTAAAAATTTGAAGTGAGTAAGTGGTGGCTATGGCACAGGAAAAGAACTAACTATAAATCAATAATGAAATATTTGGAATGAGTGAATATAATTTATGAGTCACAATATTCAACCTGAGAGGTATGATGTCATCATTTTTGGATGTGTGTATGTGTGTGTGTGAAGTTCCAAGACAGAAGTTTGATTATAAAACTTAAAATATCTCGAGCTGCAAATTCACTGAAGACAGTGATTGTTTTTCTTTAGTGAACAAAGAGAGTGCCAGACTTAAAACTGCTGAAACCCATTTCACAAAAACTTGTTATTTGAAAGGGGAATTTCCCAAGTAAAACTCTGACGTGTCTAGATTACTGTGGACACAGTGCCCATTTTATAACCATTGGGTTATAAAAAGTTTGAATTACTGACACTTTTTAAAAGAGCAATCTTTTTTTTAACAAAAGAGATATCTAATATTAAATCTCTCCAATTCCTCTTCTCCCATTCTCAGTCCCTTCTTATCCCATCACTCCATTGAAACTGTTATTGTCAATGACTCCAATGACCTTTTGCATTGCTAACTCCAAAGGGCTTTTCTTGGGTTTCATCTTTCTTGACCTGTAAGCAGTATTTGACCAAGTTGATCACTCTTACTTCCTTGAAATCTTTTATCTTGCTTCCAGGACAACACACACACCTGGTTTGCCTCCCACCTTACTGGTTCTTCCTTCTCAGTTTCCTTTACTGACTCTCTACGACCTCTGAAAGTTACAGTGCCTCAAGTTCAGCCATTGAACCTTATCTCTTCCTTTTAACTACTGTCTTGTGGAAATCACTCAGTCTCATGACTTCAGATACTGTCTATATTCTGATGACTCCAAAATTCACATCTCCAGTCAAGATCTTTCTCTTGATCTCCAGACTCCACTTAGATGCTTAATAGACATCACAAGATTTACAGATCCAAACTGAACCCCCGATTGTCTCTGCTCCCCTAACTATACTGCCCTTAATAATCACTATTCCAGTTAATAAATCACACTATAGCTTTGAGTCATCCTTGACTTTTTTCTTTTACATCCTATATCTAATACATCCTCAAATCCTTAAGTCTCTACCTTTTAACATTTTTCTGGACTCTGATCACTTCTCATCATCTCTACTGCCACCACCCTGGTCCAAGGCACCATCGCCACTCTTGCCTGGGATACTGCAGTAGCTCCTAACTGGTCTCCCTGCTCGAGTCTTTTGTCTTTTCTACATTCAATCGCAACTCAACAGCCAATGATGTCAGTTTTTGCTAAGACTCTTCCTAAGGCTCTCCATTTCACTCAGTATAAAAGCCAGTTCCTTACAGTGGCTTACACAGGCTGGAAGTCACCCTTTACTTCTCTGACCTCACTCTGTTTCCAGCTACTTTGGCTCCAGTGTGTCAGGCCTGTGCTTGCCTCCAATTCTTTCCATTCCCCCAGTATGTCGGGCCTGTGCTCACCTCAGGACATTTGCACTGCCTTTCCCCTCTGTCTGGAATGTGCTTTCCCCAGATAGATGCACAGATCAGTGCTCCACCTCTTCCAAGTCTTTGCTCAAATATCACCTTCTTAACAAAGCCTGGCCACTCTGCTTAAAATTCTAACACTTCATCTCTATATCTTATTTTGTTTTTATCCAGAGAATTAATGACCTTCTAATAAGCTCTATGAAATATACTTTTATTTTATATTTAAATATATTTTTATTAAAATGTATTTATTCTGTTTATCACATTTCTTCTCACTAAGAAGTAAGATCCATGAGAATAGGAATTTCTGTCTTTTTTATTCACCCCTGTATCTCCAGGACCTAGTACAGTGCCTGGCACACTGAAAGCACTCAATAAATATGTGTTGACTGATCAAGGAATTGACCGACAGTTTCACATAGGTACAAAATCCAATCAAGGCTACAATGGAGCTACTTTGTGTAGAATGGTGACACAGGCAGTTTGCTTATCGCCAACTCATTTATCTGTTCTAGAATTCTCTGCCCCAGTACTCTTATCTGCCCTGCAGCATTCCAGGACCTGAACACTCCCAAGATCCCCAAGCGTCCAAATCATTTCATGCTGCCCTACCTGCCTGAGATTCCCCAGTACCATGT